ACTGGGTCAGACCAAAGGTCCATCAAGCCCAGTATCCTGTCCTCTGACAGTGGCCAATGGCAGATGCCCCAAAGGGAATGAACAGACAGGTTATCATCAAGTAATCCATGCCCTGTCACCCAATCCCAGCTTCTGGCAAACAGAGGCTAGGGACACCATTCCTGCCCATCCTGGTTAATAGCCATTGATGGACCTATCTTCCATTAATCTATCTAGCTCCCTTTTGAACCCTGTTATAGTACTGGCAGTCACAACACTCTCTGGCAAGGAGTTCCAGAGGTTGACAGTGCATTGTGTGAAAAAATACTTTCTTGTGTTTGTTTTAAACCTGCTACCTATTAATTTCAGTTTAATGCCTTCAGTTTGTCTAAGTCCAGATGAATTCCCTGTTTTCTAATTATGTGTCCTACAAATTTTATCTTCTCCTTTCCAAATTTACACTTCTCATTCAGAGTGATGCCAGCTTGTTGGAAGCATCTCAAAACTGCATGTAGTCGCTCACTGGATTCATTTTTATCTCTGCCAAATACCAACACATCATCTGCATGGCAGAGGCTGCCAGGCTAACCTGACAGAATCTGTGAGATTCTCCTTTAGAAATGTTCTGGTGCTGAAGATATGCACAATGGAAGATGATTGAAACAGTACCTTCCAAATGGAGTGATGAACGTAGTTAGCCGTATAGATTCTTTAGCCAGGGTTATTTGATAGAAGCCTGCTGTAGCATATAACTCTGAGAGGACTTTCAATTCCGATAACTGAGTTAATGTCTGATCAACTGTGGGAAGCATGTGTCTTTCTCTGCACAGGCTTTTTATTCACTTATGTAAGAGCCACACTAATGCAGATTTTGAAATTGGGCTTTGGTACTACACCCATCCCTGCACACCAGTCAGTGGATTCTTCTGTCTGGAACATAACCCCCATATCTTTCATTCTCTTTAATTCTTCTTTGACTTTCCCTCATAAAGGTATAGAGATGCAGCATGGGTCTGAGAGAGCAAAAGGAGTCACTGATGGCACCAGTTTTATTTTGTACTTTTTGACAGCTTTCCTGGCCCTGTAAAGATACGTGGAAACATCTCCTGTATAGTTTTTGCCATCAAGGCATTCCAGTTTCTCCACTATGTGTAATCCTTATATTGCTAGCAACCCTAGTAGGGGAGTTTTCAGTCTTTGTTTTACATGTATATATGTTGAAGAACTTTCTGTCCCATCTCCAGTTTTCCAAGGAACTAGCCACAAAACATCCAGTGTTCTAGCCCCACATACAATTTCATTTGGTCTTTGAAGATCTCCAACCCAGGATCAATTACAATTTGTATTTGGAATTGCAGTGACTGTTGCCCCAATATCAATATTCACTTTAAGATTTTGACTGTTTATTTATGCTTATGTACCAAGGTGTTGTCTGTTCTATCAGAGATGAAGTCCCTAGAAGATAGGATTCATTGTCCTCTGATGATAACACTCGTTCTTGGATTGTTTCCGCTACTCTTGGTGACCTGCACACTATTGCAAAATGCCCCCTTTTGTCGCTTCTCCCATGTTCTTCCTCTTTTGCTGAACATTGTTGCCATTCATGGCATGGTGTCTTTCCACAACTTCCACAATTTTTCCAAGCTTCCCTACTATAGCAGTTCTTTGGCCTCCCCCACCACAGTTGTGCATTGTTCTTATGTTGTAAATTTGGTCTGACTGCTCCATTCACATACATTCTTTTCTGTTTGCTGTGTCAGTGTTTTCTAATGCAGTCTCCCCTATGCTGCTAGCATGTAAGTCACATTGCTATTTCTTTATGGTTTCTTGCATTCTCACTTTTGCTATAGCTTTTGCTAGTGTGAGATCAGGATCTAACTGAAGCTGTGGTAATAAATTGGTCTTGCTTATACCAACAACTATCCTGTGTCTTATTAGTTCCTCTAACATTCCATATTTGCAATGTTCTGCAAGGCTATGAACTACTATTACTCCAGTAATAAGTCTTAGCTGTTTCCCATTGTTCTGGGCACCACCTATTACATTTGGCCCTTTCATATATAATATTCTGTCTGCCTATGAAATGGACATCAAAAGCTTCTTTCACTTTGGAGTAGTCTTTCTTTTCCTCATCAGTGACGGATAGGGCACATAATTTATCAGCATCACCCATGGCAAATATCAGGGCATTTACCTGCTACTCTTGTGTTTTTTCTATTAATACAGAAATCTATTGGAATTGCTGAAATCTCCAGATCCAGCCAGGCCAGCTGCCTGAGTTGACAAAATCAAATTTCTCTGATGGAGCCATTTGCATTATGGGCTCCATTGCTGTGCTGAGATAAGGCTCTGCATTCTTCCTGCTCCTGCTTTCATAGGTCTCCTCTCTGATTTTCCAATTCTCTTTTCTTTCCTCTACTCCTTTAGGGAGATGGATCCACTGCTGACACCATGTAGGGTGAAGTCATAAACACAAGAATCATGCTTTCAGCAACAAGTAGAGAACTCCCTCTGCCAGGAAGTTCCCATATTTATTAAGCTCCCTGCTGCAACACACCCTCGTCCTTTCTGATAACTGTGGAGGACCAGGAGCTTTATAATCATGCCACAAGTGCCTGTCTGTGAGATCTATGGTAGTGAGAGCTTTTTCACTTTCAGCCTTTGTGAGATTTCAAACCCATGAGTTTCACTTTGTCCAAGGCTCAAAGCCAAAAATGAAACTTTCCTGAAACTAGTTAAGTGTTGCCTGGTTTTTCTGTTTTCCAGGAGAGGGGGAAGTCAAAACCCTAAGATAACACCCAGTTCTTAGGCTGGCGTGAGTCAGGAAATTGGCATAGTAGGTATAACTTCTTACCTGGTGGGATTGTAGAAGAGGAAAGCAATTAATGAGGGTCTGAAGGTGTAAGGTACAAGGTGTGGGGTGGCTACTTTATCTTACACCTCCTGGCTGTTTTTTTTTCCTGTGTCAGCCCCACCCTTCTGTACTTTTAGGACCAAATTGCTCCTGAAGTGGGACTGGATAAGGAGTAAATGAAGACAGAATTTGGCCTGCAGTGTGTAGCTTAAACTCACTACCATGTAACATCTGGACCATGACTATACCACTGCCTCAGCACCATCCCTGCTGTGCCTTCAGCTCTGACTCTTGCAAGCTTTCCTTTAAGAGCACGCACTGGCACAAAGATAAAGCAAAAGCTAGCTCACAGTTGCTCAAAATTTGGGCCAGGCTTCCTGCAAGACTGGCAAAATTCTAAGCCTGGACTGAGTAAGGATAAGGCGCTAGACAAGACTTGTTCTAGGGACACTGTCTTGGAACCTGAAGGACCAGCACATAGCGTACCCTCATAGTAGAGCCAAGTTCCTTGGTTTAGTTTGAGAACATCTGAAAATTTTAGCATGGCTGAGTTTGTACTGATGTGCAGCTGTCGCTAAAAAGCAGCAAGAGATATTATGTTATGACTGTTAAAGTAAGAGGATCAAACCTGTTCTCCTAAAACCCTTCCCTGTATATAAAAAAAATCAAATGCATGCCAGGTTTTTCATTTCAGTGAAAGCAGCAATGTTCTTGTTATGGCAGGGAAAAACTAACTCTACCTTCTTAAATCATCCTACAGTTTCAGCTGCATGTGGTATTGTTTCTATCCTAAATAGCTGTGTAATGCTGCTGTGTGCTGTTCAACAGCTGCCATGTTCCATCCTAGAGGTTGCTGCATTTCAATAGTGGGTGAAGGGACTTCCTTCATATGAAACCCTGGATTTTCAGATCTGCAGGCATGTGTTTGCGGAAACTGTGTGCACCGATTTGGTACACAATTGTTCATGGCAAATGTTTCCCCATATGGCCAGATCAAGGTTTGACTATCAAATGTAGTGCTAACTAAGATATGAGCATCCCCAAGTTAAGACAAGCCTGAACAAGGAATTGCTGAAACAATTCACTCTTGTTAGTAAATAAGGGAGGCAGAAACTAACAAATGTGGGTATGTTTATAGAAAGCAACTGTTGTGGGTATGTTTATAGTAAGCAAAGTAGGAAGGAATACCCTGAGAGGATGAGCTTGCCTTAAATCTGCAAAGCGATTGGTCCTTACATGGAAGAAGTACATATGTTAGTAGCTAAGAAAGTTGTACGTAAGTTGGGTAGTGTATGACATGAATTGGAATTGTGGTACCACCTTGTATGTAAACCTCCCTGCAGCTGGGCTTGGCCAGCATAGGCGAAGAGCTGTTATGTACCTAATAAAGTAGCTGAGCAACAAGCCGGAGCTGAACTGCGTTTTTTGGATTGCAGAGTACTGGATGAAGTGTGCTTTCAGTACCTGGATCCAAATACTAAGAACTTATTCCTGGCTTATTTTATTACCTTGTACTTAACTCTTTCCATTCTGTCATACCTTTTTAAAGTCTCCCCATTGCTGAACATCACTGGTCTGTTGCCATTAGAAAACCAGTAGTAAAAGTAACACAAGCTGGGTTTAAGTGGTTTAAGGCACCACTATTGCACCAGTTGAACTGCAAACTCACTTCATACCCCTTTTGCTTTTGAGCCAATGGTTTCCTCCAAACATCACAGGCCGCTGGGTGCCAGACACCTGCTGAGGTGGAGGAAAAGGGAGAACCTATTGTGAGCAGGCAGGGGCTGAAGGCAGTGAGACCTGTCTACATAGCAGGGAGAGGGAATCGCCTCACTCCAGCTGCAAGTTGCAGTAGCCTCGCCATGCCCCCATCCTAGGTCATGGAGTGCTAGCCAGTGCTCTCCTATATGCACAAGCTAAAGGGAGTGTGAGCACTGCAGTCTGACCGATAGCTGCCTCTTGGCTAAGAATCCCGTCCAGGTAAGGGGGCAGGGGGTGTCTCTGTGCTTTGCACCCCTCTGGCTCACTGGCCTGAGAGAAGCCATGATCTGGGCTCATATTTTCATGTGTTCAAAAAAGAAAAAAAAACCCTACTGTTCTTTTCCAAGCCCATGGGAAAGTGACTTCCCATAAATGAAGGGGTAATTTATTTCCTTCTCTGTTCCAGATTGTGCGGCCATCGAATCATGCCACAATCCAGAGCATTGTAAAAGCCGTGGGAATCATTCCAGGCATTCCCGAACCCTGCTGCGTTCCTGACAAGATGAACTCCCTCAGCGTCTTGTTCTTTGACGAGAACAAAAATGTTGTTTTAAAGGTGTACCCCAATATGTCTGTGGAAACCTGTGCCTGCCGATAAGTCTACGCCAATGCTCCTTTAAGGAGACCAGCGCCCCCTGCCCAGCTACACTGGGAAAGTTGTGAATGGGAAATCAATTGGCCTGTGCTTATGAATGAATGCAAGTCTACAACTCCATCCACAGAAAGAATGAGGAGACTCTAAAGTAATACACAAGCTCCCCTCGAAAGATCTCCCTTATTGTCACCATGTGTCTTGCAAATTAACAGGGATTCATCAGCCAGAATTCCCTCACTTTAAAAAACAAAAACAAACAAACAAACAAAAATCCTCTTCTTAACCTGGCTAGCTAAGAAATCTGGCATTTAGCGTAATCACTTCTACTTAAACAATTTGCCATAAACGGAAGACTAAGATACATTCTTAGGTGCTATTTTCCTGACTGTTTTATCTCTTCAGCTAACCAAGAAGGTGAAAAATGGACTCTGCAAAAGCAGGCTTACTCTAGAATCATATTTTTTGTACAAAAATTGTAAGGTTTTTTTTGTGCCTAAAACACTCACTTATACCTTTTAATCCACATATTTATACTGAAAAAGAATGCTGTAATAAAAGGCTTAATATGTACATTTTTCTTTGGGATTAAAATGTAGTGTACTGTATAAGCTTTTATATATACAGTATGTTAATATAACCACTTTTGGTTACCTTTCCCTAATATATATTTTACAAAATTTGTATGTAACTCTTTTCCACAGTCACTTGTTTGCTGGTTAATTTCAGATTGTTAAACATATATATTCTCTGAATAACACAAACTATATAGTAATATGTTTAAATACTAAAAATAACCAAGATTTATATTTTTGTAAGTTATACTTTATATCCTCTAGATCGATTGTTAAATGCTTTTAACAAAAGCTAAATAAATTAAAGGTACAGTAGTATCTAAACTAGTTAAAATGGTTCTCTAAATCTCATGCATGTTTCATGTCTCTAAATATAGATTATTGCATTGTGCTAATTAGAAGGAAAGCAAAGTTATCTTACTTGGAAAAGCCTAGTTATGCTTGTCATTAATAATTTTTAGTAGCTTAAGCTAGAAGGGACTGTTATGATAATCTCTTCTGGCCTCCTTCATAATGCAGGCCAGAGAAAAATGCCCCAGTAACTTCTGCATCAAACCCATAACTTCTGTTTGGAGCTAGAGCAGGTCTTTGAAGGAGATCTAATCTTGATTTAAAGCCTTCAAGTGATGAAGAATCTATCTTTTCCCTAGGTAAGTTGTTCCAATGGTTATTCCTCCCCCCCCCCCCCCCCCCGTTAAAACTGTGCCTCATTTCTAGTCTGAATTTGTCCAGCTTCAAATCACTGGCTCTTATGCCTTTTTCTGCTAGATATAAGATGTCTACTATCAGAAGTTTCTTCCATGTAGGTACAGTAGTTACCTCAGAGTTACGAACTGACCAGTCAACCACACACCTTGTTTGGAACTGGAAGTATGCAATCAGGCAGCAGGAGAGACAAAACAAAAAATCCAAATACAGCACAGTACTGTGTTAAATGTAAACTACTAAAAAAATAAATAAAGGGAAAGCAGCATGCATAGTAAAGCTTTAAAGCTGTATTAGGGTTTGAGTCAATGTTCAGTTGTAAATTTTTGAAAGAACAACCACAATGTTCAGAGTTAGGAATAACCGCCTATTCCTGTGGTGTTCGTAACTCTGAGGTTCTACCGTACTCATATACCATGATCAGGTCACCTCTTACCATTCTCTTGGATAAACTAAATAAAGTTTCTTTAGTCTCTCACTAAGTAGTTTTGAGGTCTGGAAAAATCTCTCACCTGGCTCTTTTCCGAACTCCCAAGTTTAATATCATTCTTTGGCAAATGGAGACCAGAACAGGATACGGTATCCAGAAGCGGTCTCACTAATGTCTTATGCAGAAGTAATACCACCTCCCTACTCCTACTTGATATTCCCCAGCTCCTACATCCAAGGCTCTCTAAGCCTCTTTTTTAGCATCACTGCATTCCAGAAGACTGTCCCCATCTTGTTTCCCACTTCCACTGACTTGCTATATAGTGAGACTATAGGACTAGGATTGTAGGTTTTGTTGTTGTTGTTGTTAACTCCACCCACTGAAGTCCATGGGGGTAAGTGAGAGCAGGATGTGGCCCCGTAGTGGTGAGATCTCCCTGCACAATCTCCCTAGACTGACTCCTCTGTCAAAAGCTCATGCACCATTTAATTCCAGACTTGTACTGTCCCTCCCCGCTGTGGGGTGAATATTACACTGTAATTCACCGCTCTCTGCTGAATGTCCCTGTGTGGAGAACACTGCGGATGTTGGAGAATGTAAGTAACTTAGATAGAAGGGTAAGATCCAAAGGCTTTTGTTTGATGTGAGTATCTACATCTTAGGCCAGGGTGCTGATAAGAGTCTTACTTAAAAATACAGGGCCTGATTCTCCTCCCACTTATCTTGCTATAAATCAAGAATAACTTCACTGAAGTCACTAACAAGGTCAGCTCCCAGACTGCTGCGCTGGGCATCGCAAAATGGGGAAGAGATGGCCAGCCCTCTGTGGAGATAGAGGTGGTTAGGGACTATTTAGAAAAGCTGGACGTGCACAAGTCCATGGGGCCGGACGAGTTGCATCCGAGAGTGCTGAAGGAATTGGCGGCTGTGATTGCAGAGCCATTGGCCATTATCTTTGAAAACTCGTGGCGAACGGGGGAAGTCCCGGATGACTGGAAAAAGGCTAATGTAGTGCCAATCTTTAAAAAAGGGAAGAAGGAGGATCCTGGGAACTACAGGCCAGTCAGCCTCACCTCAGTCCCTGGAAAAATCATGGAGCAGGTCCTCAAAGAATCAATCCTGAAGCACTTGCATGAGAGGAAAGTGATCAGGAACAGCCAGCATGGATTCACCAAGGGAAGGTCATGCCTGACTAATCTAATCGCCTTTTATGATGAGATTACTGGTTCTGTGGATGAAGGGAAAGCAGTGGATGTATTGTTTCTTGACTTTAGCAAAGCTTTTGACACGGTCGCCCACAGTATTCTTGTCAGCAAGTTAAGGAAGTATGGGCTGGATGAATGCACTACAAGGTGGGTAGAAAGCTGGCTAGATTGTCGGGCTCAACGGGTAGTGATCAATGGCTCCATGTCTAGTTGGCAGCCGGTATCAAGTGGAGTGCCCCAAGGGTCGGTCCTGGGGCCGGTTTTGTTCAATATCTTCATAAATGATCTGGAGGATGGTGTGGATTGCACTCTCAGCAAATTTGCGGATGATACTAAACTGGGAGGAGTGGTAGATACGCTGGAGGGGAGGGATAGGATACAGAAGGACCTAGACAAATTGGAGGATTGGGCCAAAAGAAATCTGATGAGGTTCAATAAGGATAAGTGCAGGGTCCTGCACTTAGGACGGAAGAACCCAATGCACAGCTACAGACTAGGGACCAAATGGCTAGGCAGCAGTTCTGCGGAAAAGGACCTAGGGGTGACAGTGGACGAGAAGCTGGATATGAGTCAGCAGTGTGCCCTTGTTGCCAAGAAGGCCAATGGCATTTTGGGATGTATAAGTAGGGGCATAGCGAGCAGATCGAGGGACGTGATCGTTCCCCTCTATTCGACATTGGTGAGGCCTCATCTGGAGTACTGTGTCCAGTTTTGGGCCCCACACTTCAAGAAGGATGTGGATAAATTGGAGAGAGTCCAGCGAAGGGCAACAAAAATGATTAGGGGTCTGGAACACATGACTTATGAGGAGAGGCTGAGGGAGCTGGGATTGTTTAGCCTGCAGAAGAGAAGAATGAGGGGGGATTTGATAGCTGCTTTCAACTACCTGAAAGGGGGTTCCAAAGAGGATGGCTCTAGACTGTTCTCAATGGTAGCAGATGACAGAACGAGGAGTAATGGTCTCAAGTTGCAGTGGGGGAGGTTTAGATTGGATATTAGGAAAAACTTTTTCACTAAGAGGGTGGTGAAACACTGGTATGCGTTACCTAGGGAGGTGGTAGAATCTCCTTCCTTAGAGGTTTTTAAGGTCAGGCTTGACAAAGCCCTGGCTGGGATGATTTAACTGGGAATTGGTCCTGCTTCGAGCAGGGGGGTTGGACTAGATGACCTTCTGGGGTCCTTTCCAACCCTGATATTCTATGATTCTAAGTCAATGGGAGTACATCCGGCACTGCTTCTGAGGCAAAGACTTGCTCACCAAATCATGACGATGCAGGCAGCTGTGAGAAACAGCTCACTGATCCACATAAGGCCTGTGGTCTGCAGGTAAAAATTCCTCCCCTATACACAATGGGTGCACTTAAAAAGCATAAGACCTGGTCTACACTTACAAGTTATGCATGAAGAGCTATGTCAGAAGTGTGAACAAAAGAAATCACAACCCCTGCCCAGCATAGCTATGCCAGCAAAAGCCCTAGTCTAGGCACAGTTGGATACCTTGCTCAGAGAACTGGTATAAGCCATCCTGGCAAAAGAACTCCTGCCTGCTACCAGCTGCATCTCCACTAGGAGGCTTTACCAGTAGAGATGGACTGGCAAATCTTTTCTGTTTTTAAGGCCTAACCCCAGATTTTCAAAATTGATTACTGATTTCTGGACCCTTAATGTTTGGTTGCCCAACTTGAGACATCTGTGCAGAGGCCTGATTTTCAGACAGTGTGGAGCATTTGACAACTCAGAGTCAGGCCCCTTTTTAGGCATGTCAAATTTGGCATCCAAAAATCATGAGTCACTTGAACATCTAGACCCTAAGCTGATGACCTTTGAGCAATAGCACTGTGGAGGGGAATCTGGAATTGGAGCACCTGAAAAAAAATTGCTTCTGGCAAACACTCTGCTGCTTCCGGTGTACTCAGCTCCATCCCTACCTGGCAGCAGGGTACTACCCATTCCAGGCTTGAATGAACTCCTGTGGACAGAAGCCGTCAAGCATTGCATGCTTCCCATCATTGGCTTCAGATTCTACTTGTTTGCTATTTAAACCCAATACAGCATTCCCCCTTCTACACGCAAGTTTGGGTCAAAATCTGTCCTTCAAAATGAGTGATAACGTGTGCACACCCATCTCGGAGCAGCATTTGTCCTGTGACTCACTGTGCTCTGCCCTTTCACAATGATGGTGGCCAAACATTTACATTATTAGTGTCAAAACTTAGGTCCCTAAATCTGTATTTAGGCTTGTAGTGGCCTTACTTTCAAAGGTGCTCAGGAAC